TTACATTTGCCTACTGATGAAGTAAATACCAAGGAGGAGAAAAATCTCTCAGGAAACAAGCAAGTGGACAAAAGGTGATAAAGAAGAATTGCAGGTTTCAAACCTCTGGTCTAGAAAATAATTTTAAACGCATATACAAGCATCAGATCTTATGTCAGTTTTGTCAGAAATCAACAGGATTCGCCATTTTTCTCTTTTGATTAGTAGTGATGGCATGCTCTGGAATTTTCTGTATTAAATTCTCTGTAAGAGGCTGGGTGCAGTGGTTCATGCCCATAATCCCGGCACTTTGGGAAAACAAGGTGGGAGGACTGTTTCAGGCTGGGAGTTCAAGACCAGCTTGGGCAACATAGCAAGACCTTGTTTCTACAATTTTTTTTTTTTTTAATTGGCCGACTGAGCCCAGGAGTTTGAGGCTGCAGTGAGCTATGATGGTACCATCGCACTTCAGCCTAGGCACTGTCTCTCAGAAAGAAACAAAAATTCTCTGTAAGAATCCATGGGAACACGTAGTTTCTTGTGGGTCTGTGTACTAAACATGCTGTGCCTTTACCCTCTGTGCAAGCTTGTCTCTCTTGCTCCATCTCTAATTTGCTCCTGGCACCTCTCCTCTCTTCTCCTTTCCTCTTCTCCCATTTTTCTGCTCCAAGGGGGCAGCCAGAGGTCCCCATCACTGCATAGTTCCTCAGGTCTGGGCTTTCTTTTCCTGACCTGATGGAGCAGTGTGTCCAACCGGTTCCCTCAAACACATGCTCATTCTTTTAAGGGGAATCAAATTAGTAAGCCTTCCAGTCACTGCCTGCAGGGTCCCTGTAGGTCCAATTCTGATGCCAGGAGGAATGTCCCGGTTTGGACTGACTTGCAATGAGGACGTAGAGACAGGCACTGGCAGGCAAACCCCAGCCGCCGGCCATGGGAGACAGCTTTTTAAAGTCAGAACATCATAGCGAAGGGAAGACTTACCCGCTTCGTCTCTGTGCCAGCTCTCTCTCCTTCTAGCTTTCTGCATTGTCTTGTTCTTCCCCTCACTTGTCAGCTACAATTGGCTGGAAACACTCTTGGGCTGACTCAGAATGCAATGTGTAAAAAACTTTCAGTTAAATACTTCCTTCCCTTTTCCATGATGATGAGGTGCTGTGCTCTTCTTCTGATCCTTCAACTTCCAAGACATTCACAGATTCCTGCTCACGGTCTCTCCCCGTCTTCTCACTCTGCTCATCCCCTTGCAGCCCCAGCCCCACCCCTGCCCAGTGAACTACAGTTCCTCAGTGTGTCCTCGGCCCTCCCTGACTGGTCCAATGTCCCTGCCATCTGCTCTTGAAGTGCTGCACGTGCCTGCCTTTCAGAGGTCTCGCAATTCAAATTTTGCATGATTTGCCATGTTTGGGATTAGTCTGCCTTTCCTACTGTACACATGGGGCAGACAGAGCTTCCAATTTTGTCTACGATGATCCTCAGATCCGGCACGTCTTAGGCAACCAGAAGTATCTGCTGAATGACTGAGTGATAAAAGGGACTGATCTGATATCTTTTTTTTTTCTCGTGATATGCGTTCTCAGCTACTTTTCTCCTTCTCCTGGTGCCTTCTCCTTCTCTCCTGGTAGAGAGAGGAAAGTCTCTCCATTTCCTTATAGCCAGCCTGAGGGAAGGCAGCCAGAGAAGTGGTCTGTGGAGGCTTGTGGCTGGCAGTGAGAAGACTTTTCTTCCAGTTCAAGGCCAAAAGCCCAATATGACCTTTAGCCATTTCTTAGGTAAATGAAAGTCAATATTTTCTGCTTCTTCTGCTTCATATGGGGCTATTGTTGGGACAAAATTGAGTTTGAAAGGTGCCGTATAAAGATAATGGTTACACAAACATAATGTATCCTTAAAGCAAAATGCTTTGTTGCATATCTCTATCATCTCTTAAAATTTCATGTACCATTGATGAGTTCTCTAGAATGTAGGCCTTCTTCTTTGAAGAAGCTGATTTTCAGAGAAGCTGCCGTTTTAGTAAACAGATCATCTAATCATCCACCCTGTAGGCCAATTGTTACTGAGCACACAATTACGCAAGCAACTACCATATAGAATGGTAAGGTCCTAGGGAGGAGAAGTAGAGGCTGCTCAGGCAGATGAGAAAAAGGTGCCCCATCCAGATCATGAGGTCAGAGAAGGCTGAAGGGTAAGTGAAGTCTGCGCTGGAGTCCAAATCTTGATTAGCAGGGGACGGCAAAGCAAGGAGCGGGTGTGCACGTGATCCAAGGCTGGGGATGAGAGGCGCCTGGAGGACTAAGACAACAGAAAAGGAGGTCCACATGGCTGGGGCTTAAAGTGGGGTGGGGAGCAGAGGAGATGGTGAGCAGGGGAAGAGGAGGCTAGAAGGGAACAGACGATGAAGGGTTTTGTTAGGAAAACTTGACCTTACTCCAAGAATACTGGGGAAACTTTGGCGAGCTTCAAGCAGAAACATTACTTGATTATATCTGACTTTCAAAAATGTCACTTTGGCGTGCAGTGTGAAGAAAGGATTAGTTATATAGGGCAATGGTGGAAACAGGATGAGCGGGAGGACTGGCCGTTATAGCAATCAAGTGAGAAATCCTGGTGGCTTAAATTCAGGCAGTCACAGTAGGAGTGGACTGAAGTGGGCGGATATGAGGGGATGCCTTTACTGACCCAGAGATCAGGGAGGAAAGGGAGGTTTGGGGGGAGGAAAGATGATGCGGGTCATACAAATGGAGTGTTTAGCAAGCAGCTGATTTTGTGAGTTAGGAGCTCAGGAGAGAGATGAGGGCTGAAGACACAGGTAGCGTTCAAAGTATTCTGCACAAACACTGCTAACTGAGGCCATGGAGTAGATGATATCCCCCAAAGGGACTGTATAGAGAAGACATTAGGTCTGGAGAAATGAGAGGGCTCCCAGTAATCAAACTTTGGGTTAAGGAGTCCAATAAGAAGGGGCGGTGATGTGGGAGGGAAGCCAGAAGGACATGGTGCTTGTGAAGCTTGCAGAAGGTGTGGGTGGATGGCCAGCCATGGTCAGCACTCAGAGCCATCCAGAGGTAAGACCTAAACCCAGAGGCTCTTCTCACCACAATGGCAAAAATGCGGAACTTGGAGTTCTAGGTCCCAGGAGCCATTGGAGGGATCTAAAATGACACTTCCTTTATGTCACATTCTCTAGGAATCTTCATTGACTTCTCCAGCCAGAAGTGACTACCATCTCCAAATATTTGTTGAGCCAGTACTCTTTGCACTGAGCACTGGGAATTTTAAAAGACATAAACTATGGTCCTTGAGGGGAGTAAAGCACTTACATAAAAATTCATCACAACTTGGTGTAGTCTCTACCGAGTGTCCTGTGCTCGCTGAAGAAGACAAACGCTTGGCTGGGTGGTCAGGGCAGGCCCACCCCTCCACCCTCTACAGGACAGGGTATGTCAGGAGACAAAGCAAGGGGAATATTCCAGGTGGGGCCTCACTGCTTGAAAGGTGTGGAAGTGGGATGGGCATGGTTTATCGGGAGGGCAAGGAACAGACCATGTGTTTAGCGAGGAGGACTCTTCTAGGGGAGCAGTAGGGGCATGGGTGGAGCCTTTGGAAGGGGTCAGATAGAGGTGGGCCTTGAGAGATGGCTGGAATTTTGAATTTCATGCTGCAAATAGCAGGGCACCCATTACAATGGTCACTCCTTAGGTACTGTTTGCCTCTGATTTGTGTAATCTTGCCTCTGTGATTATGGCTCTAATTTCTTTGAAAGCAATCTAGGGGCAAGGGGCATGTCTTTTTATCCTTTGATTGTTCCGCAGGGACTAGTTCAGCATCTTCTAACTCAAATGTTCTTCATAGGAATGAAACTGCAAAGACACATTGTGGCTTGTGAGGGCACATAGCTCAGTCTCTGTGCAGACACAATGAGTAGTGTACACTGTGCCCAGTACGAAGCTTTTTATCCCTTATCCCTTATTCCCACTCCCCCTGAGTCTCCAGAGTCCATTACCCCACACCGTATGCCTGGCAAACGGTGATTTTATTGATAGCATGATTTGCTAAGTCTACAATACCTATGATAAACAAATAGAACATGGGAGACGCTGAGTCGGTTTTAGGAGGATCAGGAAGTTTTCCTGGTGAGGATGATAGCTAAACAGAGACCTCAAGGGTGGACAGCCAAGCGGTGGGCAGAGGGCAGGGGTGCAGCAGGCAGAGAAAGGCCCCTGTGGAGAGGGAGGCTGTGGAGGAAGAGGCATGGAGAGGAAGCCAGGCCAGGGGTACCACAGCCTTTTGACACCCCACCACCTAGGGCAGAGCCCAGGTCCAGAGCAGGGCGGGTGGCAATGGCCCGTGTGAGCTGACGTGTAAAGCCCACCATCTCCCTGGAGTCCGTGGGCATCAGGTGAACACAACACTCTCCACAGGATGCTGGTTCTGCCCATGACAGAAACCTGGCAGAAAGAAAGAAGAACATGACCGCAGGCATTATCGCCAGTAGAAGACTGCTTGTTTTCCTCTTGGAAAAAGATTTCAAAAGCTGACGCTGAAAGAAACATGCAAAATAGATTTAAATGCAGTTGAAATGAGAGGGGACAGTCTGGGCCTGCTGCTGATCGGAGACACTTCTCGAGCAGTGTCAGCGTGAGAGAAGCTGGCGTTGCACCGGCCCCAAAGCGAGAAGAAAACAGTCTCCTCTTGACACCGACAGTGAGTCACAGAGCAGCAGCTGTGGAATATTTACTTTTTCTGGATTTTACACTGTAATTTTAAATTATAATTACATTTTATGTCATAAAACACTACTGTCTATTTGACATAATTTTCTGAATTGTGCGGGCAGGAACACAGACGAGGACAGCACGGGCCCTGCCCTTGAGGACTGCCCGTTAAGTGAGGAGACAGACCCCTGAGCAACAGCCCAGAATATCATGCGGAGAGTGCACCCCAGTGGGACGGGAGAAGGGCTCTGACCAGAGGAAAGAGCAATTAGTTTAAAATAATTTTTTTTCTTTTACTTTTAATTTAGCCCTGCCTGAGCAAGGCCTTAAAAAATTTGGTTATGAACTCACAACTGTCCCTTTCCATGGGAATCTTCCTAAAGGCGAAAGATTTCTTTGTTCTGACAAGAAACCAGAGCAGGAGAGCAATGAATTCTGAGAGCTGGATTTGGGAAAGTTGTGCCGAGAAAGGCATAAAGCAGTCATTTTCAGAGCAGAGCTACGATTGCCTTGGAGTTGATGGAACAGCTTACAAACCATGTCCTGTCCGGACCCTATCCCAGCCCCAGTGAATTAGAACCTCTAGGGCAGGGAAAGCTGGAAACACAACTTTTCCAGCTGCTCCAGGGTTTGTCTTATGCACAGTAAGGTATAAGAGCCACCGTTTTAAGAAATGCTCCGGATTTCAGTGGAGAGGAAGAGGAGGCTCACAGTACAGGTGACACCAGGAAGATGGGGATGTGCAAGTGTCCGAGGGGGCGGAGTCCTCAGTACAGCCGGAGAGAAAGCTGGAAAGTCAAACCAAGGCTGCCCACCCAAAGGACAGTGACTGCCAACCACACCTGTTTGTCCAAATCGCCCCTGGAAGTGAAAAGTATTCCTATATTTGGCTCCATTTCCAGAATCGGTCTGTTACATGGGGCTTAAACACGTGCACGTTAGCAAAGGCTGCACCAGTGATTCCAGTGAACAGCAGGGCTCAGCCCCACTGCACAGGCTGGAACCATGAGAAGTTCTGAAGTGAAGGATTACACCAAACCCCTTCTCCTACCCATGGAAAGCCTGGTAGATTCTAGAATGGCCATTACCACTGACTGTGTACTAAAGACTTTAGAAGCATCAACTGCATCCAGAAGTGAGATATGGTCCACGTGTTGTGAGCATGCAATGTGATTCTTTAAATGTCAAAAACAAGGAAAGCCCTACCATTTCCACTCTACCCTACCATTTCCGCTTTACTCTGAATTCTGAGGGCCAGTTAGAATTGGTTCTTCTTGTAAACAAATGACTTCTGAATATCTAAACAGTAGCATTTATTCTTAGATAACTAGATAATTTTTAGGAAATGTCAAACCACTGACATGTCTGTGCTCTGAAAGAATTAAGTTCTGGAAGCAATCAAAGACTCTGATTAGCTCAGTAAGAGACAGCAGCAAGATTCCAGCAAAGATGCCTCAGGCTACGCAAGTTAATTAATGACTTAACATTATCTCAGGGACCCCAAACTAACTGAAATCAACTTGTTGGCATCCTGAAAGTGATGTGAAAGTGGTTGATAAAAATGTCATGATATTACTAATCATCAGCATCATAAAGAATAGGCTTACAGTGCATGAGTATTTCCCCAAGGAAATAAAGTGAGATGCATGTATATTACCTAGAGCTTTTGATCAGAATTATATTCATTGCCAATGTCTTCAAACATTTTTGCTGTTGCACAGACAGCCACAGATTTTATACCTTTAAAGTATACCTCCCTTAGAATACTAGGCTGATGAGGTGAGAGCTTATTATGTGATATTACGTAGAGTCAATATTTGGATGAATAAAGATGACCCAGAGCTAGTAAGTTACTCCAAGCACGAAGGCGACAGTGCAAGTAATTCCCTAGGTTGTGGTCAAAGAAGATTTTTTGTTGTGTAAGGACTGTCCCTTTGGTTCTCAATAGTTCATTACAGTTTAATGGAGGCAAACAATAAATTATATATTAGTCTGTAGTTTAGAGACTCCCTCATGTTGACCCAGCTGAAGTTGTAATTTTAGTCACATTCAAGGAAATTTATTCTTTTTTCCTCATTCGTCTTCAGGTGCCTTAGTTCAAGAAGCATTGTGTGAATGAAATTCAAACAAATGATAAAACAGCTACTATCTACGGAGCATCTACTATGTGCCAGGCTTTGTATATGTCATTTAAATTAGTCTATTTAATCCTCCCTAGGGTTTCGTAAAGTGAGGTATTATCTCCACTTTTGTAGAGAATGAAATTAAAATTCAGAGAAGTCAGGTTAATTCACCCAAGATGAAAAGCTAATTAGTAGCAGAGCTAAGTCCAAAGTTGGATGTCATATTGGCTCCTCACACTTTTAAAGATCAACTCACGTCTTCCAGACAAAGTCAGCCAGTCCTTCTTCCGTGTGAATTTGGATCATGTATGTTTCTACTTGTGATGTGATAATTATTACTGTTTTTTTTCTTAAAAGTTCATGTCCTTGGACAGGAGGCATGTCTTCTTGTCCATCTCTGTGTTGCAAGGCTGCATGTTTCATTCAGGAGAGGCGTCTTGAATACCTACTGTGTGCCAGACACTAAGCTAGGCACTGCAGATATAGGGAGGAACAAGACACACATGGTCCCTGCCCTCATGGAGCTCACAATCTACAGAAGAGACAGTTAAATAAACAGTTAAAATACAGTATAATAAACGCTATGATGGGAGAAGTATAGGGATTATAGGATTTCTGAGATTAACCAGCAAAGCTCCCTTTCCTATTGTGAGGAGAAAAAGAGGGGAGCTAGGAATGATTCAGACTGAAGAGGAAAGAAGTGAGAAGAAGGGGGAAAGCAGGTTCTGGAAAGAGGAAACAGTGTGGAAAGGCACGAGGTAAGAGGGCCGGCAGAGGAGACAGTGCTGGAGACGTGAGCAAGGACCAGGCACGAAGGTCCTGGAAAGTTGGTTATTCCGAGGCTGCTGGACAGGCTGCTGAAGGGATTTCAGCATTCAGTGCCAAGATTAGATTTGAAAGATCGCTTTAACTGCAGCAAGGAGAATAAGATGGAGGGAAGTAAGCAGAGCGGCAGGAAGGGCAGGTAAGGACACACAGTCCTGTCATCAAAGTGTGGCAGAGTCAAGCCGGGCGCGGTGGCTCAAGCCTGTAATCCCAGCACTTTGGGAGGCCGAGGCAGGTGGATCACGAGGTCAAGAGATCGAGACCATCCTGGTCAACATGGTGAAAACCTGTCTCTACTAAAAATACAAAAAATTAGCTGGGCATGGTGGTGCGTGCCTGTAATCCCAGCTACTCAGGAGGCTGAGGCAGAATTGCCTGAACCCAGGAGGCGGAGGTTGCAGTGAGCCGAGATAGCGCCACTGCACTCCAGCCTGGGTAACAAGAGCGAAACTCCGTCTCAAAAAAAAAAAAAAAAAGTGTGGCAGAGTCTCGTGCTCTGCACTAGGCTGCAAAAGCAGAGAGGGAGAGAAGACTGCGGAGGCAAAGTCAGTAGGTTTGGTTTCTAATTGGATATAGGTGATTTTTGAAGGAGAGGGATCAAGGACGCTCCCAGGTTTCTGGCTTGGGCAATTGGTTAGATGGTGGAGCCATTTTCTAATCTAGGCTTGGAAGATAGGATAATAAATTTGGTTTGGACTAGTTTCAAATGTCTGGGGTGGATGTGCTTACTAAGCAGAGGAAGGTCAAGGTGGGGATAGAAGCTGGAGACAGAACTTTGGAAGCCATTAGCCGTAAGACTGAGTGAGATTACTCAGAGACTGGGAGAGAAGAGAGCTCCACGGAATATTCGAAGTCAGATAGTGAAAGAGGAGGCAGCAAAGGAACCTGAGAAATAAACAGAGGCCAGATGGGAGAAAACTGAGTCTAGGATGATGTCTGGAAAGCCAGAGTAGATTTCAAGAAGGTGGGAATGGTCTCATGGAGCCCATCACTTTTCTGTGGTCAAGTAAGTGAAGCCCTGGACACGGTCCATAGGTTTTGCAATGAGGTGGTCAGTGGGGACCTTGACAATAGGGCCAGCCCACGAGGACAGTGGAGCTCACCTGCTGCAGGCTGAGACTGGGGAGGAGCTCTGCAGGGTCTAAGGCACATCTTGAACCCAAGACTCCTTATTGAAATGCAGAGCATGGTGAAACATTTTTCCCCCTTTTTTCCAGTGTATTTCCATGTAGCTGTGGGAGACACTGCCAGTGAGTATATCTGAAGGGTTGAATAAAGCTTGGTGAAGAAATTCCGAAAAGGACAATGGAAAAATAGACCGAAGGAGACAAAGAGCTAAGACCATGAGTCACTTATTTCCAGACACAATCTGCTGGAAGCACCGCAGCGTGCCGTCCTGTCCCCTTTGTAACCTGCAACAGGAGCTGCTCTCCAGTGGGGCAACTGCCTTTTGCAGCCCTCCCTGCATGGAAGTGACTAAATAGCAGCATTCAGACTATTCGTGAGGAGTGAACAAAAGGGAAGACACTGATCTTTAGGGTTTCTGTGAAATCTTTTTCAACATAGACAAACAGAGGTAAGTAGAGAATCGAAGCCATAGCAAGGCGCACGTCTAGTCCCGGTTCTCCTGGGAGGTGGGTTTCTCAGCCTCCTGGCCAGCTCTTCCTGCCTCCCCTGCCTCCCTCCTCTCCTCGGCTCTTTCTCTTCACACATTAGACACCCTCTCTAGTCCTTCCCTTCTACCTCCTCCCCCTCCTGCCATAAAGATGTGCTGAGCACTGCCGGGAGTGCCAGTGTGATGGTGATGCTGCTGACAGTCATTTACTACCAGGCATCCTCTGCCATTCTCTCTATTAATCCCAAATGCTGGTCCACATCTCAGATGTAACTTCCGCACCTTGGGCCAATTTCTCATAAACACTTTTCTCCATGATTTTTGGTAGGAAATCTAAAATTCAGTCTTTCTCAAATTAAACTCATGATCTTCACCATACAATCTATTTCTCCTCAAGTATTTCTTCTTTGTGGCTAATAGCATCACCATATTCACCACCTGCCCAGCTGCTGTTACAAGGTCATGTGTAACTGCTTGATTTCCTTACCTTCAAGCAGCAGCTCATTCCCTTTAGCTCCCCCTCTGCAATATCCATGGGGCTGTGCTTCTGTGTCTATGACCACTGCTCTGCTCAAACCTGCGTCTCCACTTGCCTGGACCTCAGGGAAGCCTCTGACCATGTGCCTTATTTCTGATTTTGCTCCCACTCATTACAGCCTCCACAATGCTTTTAAATTCATTTTCAACAATACAAATCTGATCATGTACCTCCAGGACAAGTTTATACACATTCACTGATTTTTCACAGCCAGCAGATTATAGTTGATGCTCTAATTTAGCACTGCTCAAAAGGCCTTTAAAAATCAGTCTTTACAGCTTCATCATCCACCTGTGTGCCAAGCATAGTGCTACTTGCTT